GGTCAAAATCCCCTGGAGTTTAAATTGAGAAACCAGGAGAATCCGTCTAAACCTGTATTCCACCCTCATCGCTAGCCTAACCAGTTACTCCTGGTGCAACGCCCTAAAAAATAAAACTTCCACAGGTTAACGAGATCCGCAGGCCAAAATTTGGGCTAATAATGCGACAAACTTCACCTCAAAAATCTCGTTGGTTGAAGGTCCTGAATTTCTACGCGTATTTGGTGAAAAAGAGCTTTGACCGAGCCACGAAAAGTTGGGAACCATATGAATCTATCAAAATTGCCAGTTCCTACTTCATTGCTGCGTAATCAGTTATACCTAAAAACCCCTCAAAATGTTATATTTCACAACTTGAACGAATTCGGGAGGCGGGAATTTATCTAATCGGGGTTCTGCTGTGACTGACAAACAAGCATTTTGAGGGATCGGAATTTCATAGCGTAATCGGCTAGGCCTAAACCAAAATAATAAAACAAAAACAATAATAATAATAGTAACGAAAATTTAACTTCCTCAATAGTTTCATGGCCTAATCGAATAATCCCGGAAAGGAGTTTGAAAAATTATATTTTTCACAGTTTAGCAAGATGAGCAAACTAAAATTGGGTCGAAGAATCGGACCATTCTCACTTCAAAAACCTCGTTTGTTCAAGGTCCTGAATTTCCACGTGTAATTGGTGAAAATCCCGGAGCTTGGACCGGGCCACGAATTAGACCTGAAAAACACCGGAAAAATTCTATATTTCAAGCGTTGAACCGATTCAGAAGGCGGGAATCTATCTAATAAAGATGATGGCTATACGGGAAAAACCAGCATTTTGAGGGATCAGAATTTCATTGCGTAATTAGCAAAGCTTAAAATGATACAATAAATAAAACAGTAAACGATAAAAATAGTCACTAAAATCCAGCTTTCTCCATAGTTTCATGGCCTAATCGAATACTCCCCGAGAGGAATGTTATAAAATTATTTTTATTTTTATTTTTATCCGATTTTTATTTTTTTATTTTTATTGATTTTTTTATACTCGCCCTTTTTATTATATCATACTCATGTGGAGATTCTGGAGATTGCGCTTGCCTACCAGAAGAACCTGCCCAAAACCTGTATTCCCCCTCATGGCTAGCGTAACCAGTGACTCATGCTGCAGCGCGCTAAAAAAATATCTTTCGCCGTTGAAGGAGATAAGCAGACTAAAATTGGCTTGAATAATCCGACCAATTTACTCTATATAAATTTCCAATGCCCGTGATACCGCCGACCGGGAATTCAGCCAAATTTTCTATTTAAATTCCATGCTCTATGAAAAAACCAGCATTTTGAGGGACCAGAATTTCATAGCATAATTGGCTAAGCCTAAAAATCTAAACAATAGCAGTCACTGACATTTAGCTTTTTCCATAGTTGCATGGCGTAATCGAATAATAAAGGAAAGGAATACAGGAACATTAAAAGGTATATCTTTCAGGCGGAAAACTAGGAACTTAAAATGCGATGGAATTCCACTATGGAAATGCTGCCATTCTATCTCAAACTTAAACTTAATATGGTCAAATTGGATCGATCGAGAGCCGGAATTGATGGCCTAACCAATTTCTTAGCAAAAGCTCTCAAAATTTGGATGTTTAAGACTTTATCGGGTATCAGAAGACAATATTCTAGTGAATCGGCAGTATTGTTGTAAAGCAAAATTTAGAAAATTCCGTTTTTGAACGTATGGATTGCAGTGTGTAAGTGGTGAAATGAAATTTGTTAGACTTAAAGAAAACCATAGAATCCCTAATTCCCCCTGAGTTGCGCATTAATAGCACCCAATTTCGGATAGTTTCCTAGCGCACTCAATTGGCCGGTTTAAAGTTACCCAAGAAAAACAGCCCGAGAAAAAGATGTTTCACGCGATAGGAGAGCTAGGCAGGGCAATCAGGCCCTAGTGAAGCTCATACCATCTTGGGGGTATTCAACTAACTAGTAAAATTGAGAAACAACTTAAAGGGATTTGCGTCGATTTGGATTCGCCCGGAAATCGATACCGGGTTCTTCTCGCTTAACGGGGGGGGGAGGGGCAACTTTTCCCAACAAATTTAGAACGGCCATATAATTAACAACTTCCCCCTTTTCCTAACATTTTACATAGTTTTTAAATAGGCAAAACCTCGTTAAAAACCATATAAATAGCCATAAAACCATTTTTGGCTTTTTATGTGATTTTTTTTATGATGAAAAATGACCAAAACGAAAAATATTATTAAATATTCTTTATACTTTGTAGCAATAAAAACTACTAGGTGCATTAGAAAGATGTGCATTTTATTATTAACCCCCAACCCGTTAAACGGGCCGAACTGGATACCTCAAAACGACATGTTTCATAACTTGACCGGGCTCCGAACTCGATGCCCAGTCGAATGTTCGTCGAGGATTTTTGCATTGTTTTTGCAACAATTGAGCTGTTCAGGGTAGAATTCGTAATCGGTTATGCACAATAAATTTCCCAATTTCAGGCTATCTCAATGTCCTCCTGACAAAAACACTCGAAGCCACCGGCGTCACTGCGTTGCCATTTGTGGTGGCCACGGAAATACTGCCGCAAGAATATCTGGTTACGGTGACGCAGGTCAGTTTTTAGGAGCTTTTAGGCAGGCTAGCAGAGATTGTTTGAGGAAATGGACGGACCCCGAGAGGAGGGCAGGCTAGCAGAGATTGTTTGAGGAAATGGACGGACCCCGAGAGGAGGGCAGGCTAGCAGAGATTGTTTGAGGAAATGGACGGACCCCGAGAGGAGGGCAGGCTAGCAGAGATTGTTTGAGGAAATGGACGGACCCCGAGAGGAGGGCAGACTAGCAGAGATTGTTTGAGGAAATGGACGGACCCCGAGAGGAGGGCAGGCTAGCAGAGATTGTTTGAGGAAATGGACGGACCCCGAAAGGAGGGCAGGCTAGCAGAGATTCTTTGAGGAAATTCCATAACTTACTTTTTTAGTTATGTCTCGCCATCTCCTCGATCTGTATTTCCTTCTTCACGTCGTTGGCCCCATTCACATTCGGGTCATGTCTACAGTACTACCTGCTTTTTGTTGTCGGATTCTCTGCACTAATGGCTACGGTAGCAAGGAGAAACTGGAAAATCGTCAGCGAGGAGATTGAGGTGTGTTATTTTTCCTAAGGAATCTCTGCTAGCCTGCTCCATTTCTTCAAAGAATCTCGGCAAGCCTGCTCTCTACATTTCGAATTTTCAGGGTCCTGAAGCGGAGCCTCTACTCCGCAAGACGAGCCCTCCCCCGGAATACGAACTGTTAATTTAATCAAATTTCATTAAACCTTTGGAGATACCTTATTTTTAAAAATTCTAATAATTCGATTGTCGGGTCGCCTTGGAAAATGACATAAAATTTTCATGTGTTACATTTGTGAAAGCTTAAAAGGACATTCTACGCCTCGATGTAGCCATGCATTAGCTCCCAAAGGAAAAAATCAAATATTGAAATTTTATGCAACATTCTTTTTTTCTTCGAAAGTCTTCGAGGCAGTGATCGATTTGCAACCATAAGTCGGTCAGCAAATCAGGTGATGAGATGAGAAAACACAGAAGCACAGAGACACAGAGACACCAAGACACAATTTGAGAAAACACAGCTGGGACGGCGCTTCGGTGGATGAAATTGAGTTTACTGGCTGGTCTCTGCGCAAAAATCCGAAATCCCCAGCGTCCGTTCCGCGCAACTTCAAACGACGTGGGTCTCGCAGCGATCTGGACGGACGGCCGGGCACACAGACTTTAGAAATTTCACCGTTTTTTTCTTCGTTATTTTGAGCAATTACAACGATTTCAAGCAGTTCAAACCGCTCATAACTACTCAGCAACACAGTACGAAGTTTAAACAGAAACGTTGTTGGCATTTTTTTTAGAAGCAACCTGGCAAAAAATTTTTGGGGCTGATTTAGACGGCTATGTTAGAGGAAATAACATTGCTTGATTTTACACCCGGAGGTGCTTCCAAAAATTTGTGCCCAGTCCCCGCACTGGGTCTAACGGTTGCCGGGGATCGCCGGTCCGTAGCTCATCGGGGGCTCGTCGCCGGGGACGAGAGAGCTAGAGAGAGAGGTAGCGAGAGAGAGAGAGAGAGACCGCCTCTCGGCTGACAACCGTAGAGCTGAAAGTCACGTTAGAAACTGGAACAGTGGGCCAGGTGGGAGATTTTTCTGCGCGATTTTCTGACGCAAAAGGCGGCAGGCGGAAACCATTTTTTTGTTTTCCACCTATTGGTGATGATACATAATGTATTTTGTAGTGTTTTTAGCGGTTTTTATTGCTAGAAATTTATAAAAATAGTTTTAAAAATTTGGAAATTCGAAAAACCGATCTTTTTTGGTTACTTTTTAGCCATTTTTCGGAAAAAGTCAAAAATGCTTATCATTTTTAGAGTGTTTTTATATCTAAAAACTACGTAAAAGGTAAGAATTTACTTTACCCCCCCACAGCCGAAGGGTCTGAAAGTTTTCGGTATTTTCGCTTATTTTGTCGGGATTTTCGCAACGCCATTCGATAGAGCGTCGAAAAATATACTAAGAGTTTTAATTCGAGCCTACAATAATGTAAAATAAAAAAGTTATAGCCAAAAACTTCCGGCTGGGGGGGGGTAAAGTAAACCGTAGCCTTAAATGTATAAAAATGTATAAAAATGGTTTATATTTTGTTATAGGGACGTAGAGAATCACAGGAAAAAATTTGGACCCCCGCTAACAGTCCAGAGCCATATTTTCTAGTATGCTAATAATACGCTGATCGGATCGCCTTAAAAATGATGTCAAATGTGTATAAAATTTCCGAATTTGGGAGGTAAAATCAAATAATCAAATGCCGCTGCGTGTATTAGTTCCCGGAAAATTACATTTCAATTGGACATGAGATGCAACATTGATTTTTGTACAAAATTCTTTATCGGAGTAGCGATCGATTTCGAGCCAAGATTCGGTATGCATTCTGTGATATGAGTTTATTGGAAGAGGATGGCGACGGCGAGGAGGAGAAGATGGAGAAGCGAGCGCCACGAAGACGGACAGTCGGCGGTAGAGTGGGCTACCTGAAAAATGACTGGATTAAAGGGATCATGACAGCCGGAAGAAATTCGCAGAAGGGCCCGTGCAGATCTTTTGCGTTAGCAAGGGGGTACACTCTATCGTTTCAAACGCCTTTTCTCATTCGCAATTCGAATGAAACCAACCGATTACGCAATGAAAAAACGCGGCAGGAAAGAGAGGTAGAGCGCGAGAGAGTGGGAGAGAGAGCTAGAGAGCGAGAGAGCGAGAGAAATAGAGTGCGTGAGAGATAGAGAGCATGAGAGAGCAAGAGAGAGAGAGACAGAGAGAGAGCAAGAGAGGGACAGAGAGAGAGAGACAGAGAGAGAGACAGAGAGAGAGAGAGACAGAGAGAGAGCAAGAGAGGGACAGAGAGAGAGACAGAGAGAGAGACAGAGAGAGAGAGAGAGAGAGAGAGAGAGAGAGAGAGAGAGAGAGAGAGAGAAGGAGAGGGAGAGAGTGTGTGCGAGAGAGGGAGAGAAGCAGAGAGAGCCAGAGAGACAGACAGACAGACAGATAGAGAAGAATAAGACCCATACCTCGGCGGCCATCTTCATGCCAGCGGGGCGCACCATCGGGAACATGGTCGAGCCGCAGGAACGGTCCTAAAAAACCAAAATAAAGGATTTTCTCTATTAATTTAATAAAATAATGAATTTTAATAATGACTTCACAATTTTATGACGGAACGGGCGAATTTCGACAACGGAATCTGCTGCGCATTGCAGGATTTTTGCAGGTTTTTACCCCCAGATCCTGCCTTGGAAGCGTAAAGGATAACCAGTTACGCCATCAAATTCGTATCCACCCACAATTTTCGGACCGCGGACATCATCCCGCTCAGCGTCCCTGTATTGCTGCGCCAGAGATATTAATGCGCTGCTGGCCGGGTAGATGGCCACAGGGTCGGCGCCGTTGACGCGAGCCACTAAAAATACAAGATCCATCCATTTCCTCAAACAATCTCTGCTAGCCTGCCCTCCTCTCGGGGTCCGTCCATTTCCTCAAACAATCTCTGCTAGCCTGCCCTCCTCTCGGGGTCCGTCCATTTCCTCCTCCAATCTCTGCTAGCCTGCCCTCCTCTCGGGGTCCGTCCATTTCCTCAAACAATCTCTGCTAGCCTGCCCTCCTCTCGGGGTCCGTCCATTTCCTCCTCCAATCTCTGCTAGCCTGCCCTCCTCTCGGGGTCCGTCCATTTCCTCCTCCAATCTCTGCTAGCCTGCCCTCCTCTTGGGGTCCGTCCATTTCCTCAAGAATCTCGGCTAGCGGCCTCAGACTCACTGCAATCACATGCGACTCGATCCTTCGGATCATTCTGAAACATGACTTCAGCCTTCTTGTAGCAGCCGAGCTCGTTGGAGACGAATTGGCCGGCGGCGCGATACTCCCAGACGGCGTTACAGTACCACGAATCGCCCTCACACACTGTAAACGGTATTTTAAGGGGGTAGGTACCTGCCTTCGTATGATAGCTATGGGCTGACGGCTTACCGTAGAACACGGTCGTCCCGTTGATCAGCTCCCCGAAAGCGACCTGCTCGGGGCGGACGTTACGCGGCGGGATCGTGCACTGCGTGGCGGGACCCATCCAGGCCGGGCCTTTCACCGGGCAGTAGATGGCGCCTAAATGATCTTTGCTAGATTGCCCCGGTTTTGGTTTCCTCAAAGAATCTCTGCTAGCCTACCCAGGTCGACGGGAGGCGGGAATACGGTAGTGGACGGCACTGTGGTGGTGGCCCTGGTCGTCGAGTTGCTAGCCGATGTCGAATTCGAACGTGTTGAATTTCCGACCGGCTGAAAATGGAAGTCTTTCACTTGCTCTCTCTCCACCTCTCTCTCTCTCTCTCTCTCTCTCTCTCTCTCTATCTCTTTTTGTCTCTCTCACTCTCACTCTGTCGCACTCGCTCTCTTTTTCTCTCTCGCTCTCTCGCACACTCGCTCTCTCTCTGTCTGTCTCGCTCTCTCTCTCCCTCTCTTCATCTCCTTCTTTCCTGTTCTCTCGCTCTGATGCTCTCTCTCTCTCTCGCTCGCTTGAATCTGAATTTCCTAACCTGAACTTCCGGTACGGCGGTGAAGCCGTGGGAATGGGCGAGCAGAAGGCACCAAATAGCCAGAAATAGGGGCTGCCGAATTCGGGCCATTGGAGTGTAATACTGAGACTGGAATCTCTGCCAAATCTAGGAGGTATGGAAAGACGCCCGATGCAAATTTGGTGAAAGGCTACTTGCTTGTCCTAAAGAATCCCTGCTAGCTTGCTCGATTACAACGCTCGCGAATTAAGTTACGTAATCGATGGTTAAATTTTAAGACATTCCTTAATTGCAGATTTTCCTGAATTTGAAATTACGATACTTCTACGCACGCCACTTGTATTATATGAACCGGCTAGATCATCGATTACGCAACGAAATGCCAGGCGTTGCGTGTCGCGGCGCAGCCGAAAATGAAAAAAATTCATGCATGTTCAAGGTTGAAATCCAGAATTGCCTCCGCCGCATGTTACGGTAACTCAGAATATACCACACGAAAGCCAGGAACATTAAAAGCATAAAACTTGGCTGGTCTCCAAAATTCTCGGAAACATAGTTTTACAAAAAATTATTTTCAAAGTTTTTTTTTGTTTTAGAATGCTCTTAAGATAATTTTTCTGCAGCTGCGGGGCTTTTTCTCATCTTCGACTTCAGCTTTTCTTTACCAAATAAACGGCGCTTTTTCAGGGTGAACAAGACGCAGCGATATCTCCAAATTACCTCATTTAGCGGATTGCATACAAAAACAGATTTGAGATCGGTTCCCGGAAGATCTAATTAACAAATTTCGGACTTCTAATCTGGAAATGGTCGCCCCAGAGCCGCTGCCCTTCTTCTTGTTGCTGTACATTTTCGTTGCTACCGTACCCTTGACCGTCGGCCAATTGCGAAACGAAACGACGGGTACGGTGATTTATCCAACGGTTTTAGAAAGCGGATTTTAACCTTGCCAACCCCTTTAAAGGCCTTAAAAAGCCAAACTCAATTTTTTTAGTATTCTGCGATCTCCAAATTCCGGTGGGACCGAGCAGCAGTTGCCAGATGCCAACGCCAGCCTGGCCGTATCCGGGCTTTCACGTCTTCTACTCACGGCTCATGAATGGCACGATGTATACATATTGTAGGTCTTTCTCTATCACACTCTCACTCTCTCTCTCTCTCTCTCTCGCTCTCTCTCTCTCTCTCTTTCTCTCGCACTCTCTCGCGTTCTCTCTCTCTCGCTCTCTCTCTCTCTCTCTCTCTCTCTCTCTCTCTGTCTCTCTCTTTCTCCCTCTCTCTCTCTCGCTCTCTCTCTCTCTCCCTCACTCTCTCTTTCTCTTCTCTCTGTCGCGCGCTCTCACTTCTCGCACACTCTCTCCTCTTCAGCATGCGGTATCATGGGCGTGATGTGCGTGACTTTGAATGGACGTCAGTTGAACGACACTGAAATTGGATGCTACGCGTTCTCCAATATTTTCGGCCACAATTGTCATTGCAGTTGAGTGGACTCTAAATTTAATATACCTTTTTCAGCGACTTTTTCCGCAAATGACACACAGCCAACACTGGCATCCACCCGTAAGTGATTTTTCGGCAGGCTAGCAGAGATTGTTTGAGGAAATGGACGGACCCCGAGAGGAGGGCAAGCTAGCAGAGATTGGAGGAGGAAATGGACGGACCCCGAGAGGAGGGCAGGCTAGCAGAGATTGGAGGAGGAAATGGACGGACCCCGAGAGGAGGGCAGGCTAGCAGAGATTGGAGGAGGAAATGGACGGACCCCGAGAGGAGGGCAGGCTAGCAGAGATTGGAGGAGGAAATGGACGGACCCCGAGAGGAGGGCAGGCTAGCAGAGATTGTTTGAGGAAATGGACGGACCCCGAGAGGAGGGCAGGCTAGCAGAGATTGGAGGAGGAAATGGACGGACCCCGAGAGGAGGGCAGGCTAGCAGAGATTGTTTGAGGAAATGGACGGACCCCGAGAGGAGGGCAGGCTAGCAGAGATTGGAGGAGGAAATGGACGGACCCCGAGAGGAGGGCAGGCTAGCAGAGATTGTTTGAGGAAATGGACGGACCCCGAGAGGAGGGCAGGCTAGCAGAGATTGGAGGAGGAAATGGACGGACCCCGAGAGGAGGGCAGGCTAGCAGAGATTGGAGGAGGAAATGGACGGACCCCGAGAGGAGGGCAGGCTAGCAGAGATTGTTTGAGGGAATGGACCGATTCGCTTTTTTCAGCGCACCCAGATGTGATGGCTTTTTGGAAGGCGAACCTTGCCATGGCGCCGGTGGTACGTTCAAGCGGGCTGAAGACGTACAAAGTTTTTAGAACAATTGTGGAGGTCAGGCGTTTTTCCCGCCGACAAGTACTACTACGACCACGACTATAACGACTAGAAGTACTACGGTAATCACCTGATCTTGCTAGCTCTCTCTCTCTCTCTCTCGCTCTCTCTCTCGCTTTCACTGACAGCTTTCCAGACGCTTCGACCCGCCTCCTGGCCAATCCCAACCCCGAAGCGATCCTCCGGCGAGGAAATTCCCGGGAAGGTACGGCTTTTTCAGGATTTGGAAGTAGAGTTTCGTGAAGCAACTACGCCCATTACGATCGCAAAAATAGACTGATCCTCGTAATGCTATGAAACAAGTTATTTTTTCCGATGGGTTCAGTAATATCTAATTAGTAAGTTTTTAATAGTGTTTTTAGTCATTTTTAACCATATTTTAAAGGAAAGAACTATCCAAAAGCTTAGAAATTTTTTAGCAATGGCTCAGAAAAATTATGTTTTTGGTAATTTTAATACTTTGTTTATGAAATTGTAACGTTAAGAATAGTCGAAAAATCATTAGGCTCACTTCCCAAATTTCCCAAAAAAATCGGATTGTAAGGAAAAAGTTGGTTTAAAAAAGATCACCATTTTTAGAACGACCTGTCGAAGACGTCCGCCCGCACACCATCGCCACTTTTGCTGTGTGCGTCTCAGCTCTCTCTCGTCTTCTATCGCCTACTTCATCAAACGATTTGACCCATTATTTCACCTCCCCCTTATTTATTCGCACTCCGGAATTTCCTGTGGAATTATTTCGATTTCAATTATCTCTGCTGGTTCGCCCCGTTTTTGGAATAAAATGTGCTTTCGGGAGATTGGATTTTATCTTATTCTGAAAAATGGTGCAAAAGATTCGATAAATTGGTAAAATTGTTTCTTAGTTCCTTTAACCTAATTTACATGTTACTGAAACACATTCTTATTTTCGGCTGTTACTTACTGGTGATTTCGAGGTGGGGCAGACATACAGCGGTTTCTTTGGGACCTGAGCAAGCTAGCAAAGCTTTTTGGTTCTTTCACACTACAGGGTGTCCCAAAAAAACCCCCCCCCTACCTAGCGGGTCGGAGACGTGTTCGATTTCTACGATTTTGGTATCTATCGAGAGCTCTCGACAAGGCGAGTCCAGCGCGCCTTTCGAAATTTTGAAATTCCGGATTTTTTCTTACTTTTACTAATATTTTCGCGAAAAGGGCTGCATTTCTGATGCTTTTCGGATAAAAGGGTTTTTTACAAAAATCACAATTTATGGATTTTAACGGCTTTTCCGGAACCGCAAAGACAGTGTTTTGAAAACCATTTGAAAAAACACAGCTTGTGTGGCGCTTAAACCGGTTAAATTGGGGGTTTGCCAAAAAAGCGTCTCCTTGTTGCATAAAAAAATACCAAAAATTGGACAAAAAATTTCGGAATTTCAAAATTTCGAGAGGCGTGCTGGACTAGCCTTTCCGAGAGCTCTCGATGGATACCAAAATCGTAACAATCGGACATGTCTCCGGCCCACTAGGTAGGGGGGAAATTTTTTTTGGACACCCTGTATTGGGCGGATTCTTTTGAAAATCTGAAAATTTTTATCTGATTGTGTTTTTTCAGGCGGTTTGGACCGGAAAGACAAATATTTTGGGAAATTCTGTAATTTTCGTATGGGCTGTTTGCAGCGGCGTAGCCAGAAAAAAATTTCGGGTGGGCCCCCAAAAAATTTTTCCAAAAAACTCAAAACATTGCCGAAAAAATAGCGCCGCAGACAAAAATTTTTGAAAACAAGATTGTATAGCTATACAAATAGCCGTAAAAACGTGAAAAAAATAGCGCCGCAGGGAGCAAAATTTTTGAGTAAATAAAAATCATAAGGGTCCCCCCTTATGAAATTTTCGGGCCCCGGCCGATTTCGGGGGGCGGGCCCCCGGGGCCTGTATTACGCTACGTCCCTGGCTGTTTGTATCTGAAGGCAGTATTAAATACTATAAAAGCGGTTTATATCTCGTTGTGGAAGCTCATGGCGTTATTGGTAAAAAAATTTGTGAAATTGGTGATTATCCAGGTTTTCCATAACCGGGGTGAATCTTCTGGCCATAAACAGAAAAATGGCACATTTCATCACGTGTCTGGTTGCTCCCTATCCCTCCAAAAATGCTGCTTTTCAATTTGGTTGTTCTGCTTCTTTTCATTCCAGCACTCCTCCTTGCCCAGGATGGGGGTACGGCTAATTTTCCGTTTTGATATTTGTAAACTTAATTTTACCCTTTTTCTAAAAAGTATTGTAATATTTTTCAGCGCCCGTCGACTATTCGGAGCGTATGGACACTGGAGGTGCGAAACTTTAGAACATTCTTAGAGCTTTTTTCAGAACCCGAGTCTAGTCACCCGCCCACCAACGCCACGACGAGCAACAGCACGATGGGTTTTAATGCTACTACCAAGGCGGCTACGGTAATGCATGGTAGGTTACTGTACAGGGTGTCCCAAAAAAAATCCCCCTCCCCCTAGCCGGCCGCAGACCCACCCGATTTTTACGATTTAGGTATCTATCGAAAGCTCTCGGAAAGGCGATGTCGGGACGCCTGGTCGATTTTCGAAATGTCGAAATTTTTTTATCATTTACTAATGTTTTTTGCGAAAAGCGCGGATTTTCTGATGTTTTTCTGAGAAGGCGTTTTTTACAAAAATCGCAATTTAAGATTTTTTATGCCTTTCCTGGCAGCCCAACGACAGCTCTTTGAAAGCCGTTTGCGAAAACACAGCTTGGATAGCGCTTAAACCGGTTAAATTGCGTTTTGGACAAAAAAGCGAGTCCTTTTTGCCTGAAAAAGGCCGAAAATCGAGCAAAAAATTTCGACATTTCGAAAATCGACCAGGCGTCCCGACATCGCCTTTCCGAGAGCTTTCGATTGATACCTAAATCGTAAAAATCGGGTGGGTCTGCGGCCGGCTAGGGGGGATTTTTTTTGGGACACCCTGTATACGGCTTAAGTTAGGGTTTCTGCCTGGAGCGAATTCCCAAAGGATCTCTGCTAGCCGACCTCTTTCAGAAAAGCCGACTCCCACCGCCGACGCTCTTCCTGCGCATTCGGAAGGGCAGAAGCGCAAGGACCGCGTGCCGATAGAGCCTTATGGAGCAGCGTAGGTGCTTACAACTAGGGTATCCAGCGGGTATTAAAGCACAACCCCTCAAAAACCAGTACACTGGTGGACATAATTATAGCCTCAGTGAAAATTTTTCGAAAATCTCGATTTCTGGCGGTGTCCATTGAAAGCGTTCTATAAGGGAAAGTAGCGGAATTCTATCACAATTTCATACCACAAACCCTTTTTGTGATTCTCTGGACAAAAATTTTTTTAGGAATATTTTCCCAAAAATGGCACTTTGAAAAAGGGACATAATTATAGCCTCACTTGGGTAACATTTAAATAAAAAATTAAATACTCGCACAAATCAATAAGAAACAATTCCAATAATGTTTGGCTACACCATTTCATGTAATTTGATGGGGGGAGATGCATCTCCAAGCCAGAATACAGGCGGGCGATCCGCTTTTTGCTTGACCGGATGCGAGGCGGAGACAATCCTCTGTTACGACGCGATACTCTTTTTTTCTGCTTAGATTTTGAATACCGGGGAGCTTTGAACATGGCCAATCACGTTACAGTCAATAAAATTACCCGGCGACGCTAAAAAACCCACTTTTAAGGGGTTGGTCCGACTCTGGGGCACATTTGGCTCCAAGAATTAAGGCTTCATCTTACTCTTAAATCGGATTCTGATCCTGATTTCGATTGGAAATGTGCTGTTTCTTGAGTTGAACAATTCGAAATTATTGACACGTTCCTTTAAGTCAAGATCAAGCATCATTTCCTTCCTGCTCGTGAAGAACTGATCTTCCAAACGGGCACAGCAACACTTTGAATTTTTTTTCGACCAAATCAGTTTTTTTTTCTGCGCAATACAAAGCGAAACCTTTATGGATGGCTACGCGAAAGCCTCTAACCATTAGAAACAATGATCTGGAGAATTTTGGGAGGCCCGAAGCCTACCGTATCTTCCTCAAAACCGTCATCTTCTGTGACGGGCGAACTCAACACGATTTTCGCAGTGGCGTTCGTCCGCTTTGGCGCGACTCGTTGCGCTGCGGAATTCAGCACATTTCCAATCGAAATCAGGATAAGAATCCGATTTAAGAGTAAGACGAAGCCTTAATTCTTCGAGCCAAATGGGCCCCAGAGTCGGACCAACCCCTTAAAAGTGGGTTTTTTAGCGTCGCCGCGTAATTTTATTGACTGTAACGTGATTGGCCATGTTCAAAGCTCCCCGGTATTCAAAATCTAAGCAGAAGAAAAGAGTATCGCGTCGTAACAGAGGATTGTCTCCGCCTCGCATCCGGTCAAGCAAAAAGCGGATCGCCCGCCTGTATTCTGGCTTGGAGATGCATCTCCCCCCATCAAATTACATGAAATGGTGTAGCCAAACATTATTGGAATTGTTTCTTATTGATTTGTGCGAGTATTTAATTTTTTATTTAAATGTTACCCAAGTGAGGCTATAATTATGTCCCTTTTTCAAAGTGCCATTTTTGGGAAAATATTCCTAAAAAAATTTTTGTCCAGAGAATCACAAAAAGGGTTTGTGGTATGAAATTGTGATAGAATTCCGCTACTTTCCCTTATAGAACGCTTTCAATGGACACCGCCAGAAATCGAGATTTTCGAAAAATTTTCACTGAGGCTATAATTATGTCCACCAGTGTATAACCACGCACATTGCTTTCTATTCGGAGCTTTCGCATTATCGGGGGGGAAGGGGTGGAAGAAGTGAATTCTAACTTAATAATGAGTGTTAATTTTTTAAACTTTAGAGGGTTACGGTTTACTTTACCCCCCCCCCCCCAGCCGGAAGTTTTTGGCTATAACTTTTTTATTTTACATTATTGTAGGCTCAAATTAAAACTCTTAGTATATTTTTCGACGCTCTATCGAATGGCGTTGCAAAAATCCCGACAAAATAAGCGAAAATACCGAAAGCTTTCAGACCCTTCGGCTGTGGGGGGGTAAAGTAAACTCTTACCCTTTCGAGGTATTTCTAGACGTATACAAAAAAAATGCCCCCGATAATGCGAAAAGTTTCGATTTTATTTTCAAAAGATCGAAATCTAGAATGCCAAAATCTGCATAGGCCAATATTCCCGGTGAAACCCCCGAATCCTATGCAAAATAATTTCGACATTCTAAATTTCGACATTATGAAATTTCGACATTATGGTAGCAATTCGAAAGGACCATACCTTTAATTGCGGGTTGCTGTACGTAAGGAAATTAGCGTCAAGTCGTATTAGGATTGTGCGGCAGTGTTGATTGGTCTCTTGCATTGAAACCCGTTTTCGCTTCAGCTGGGTTGCGCACGTGCTGCAAATCTGGGCCGTCTCGACTTTGCCGAGTAGGTTCTTGTATCTACGGTGCTTCCCTACTAACCTTAAATTTCGCTTGCTTTTCAGCCATCATCTTCTGCGTGTGGCGGCTGATCGCGCGGATTCGCGACCCGGAACGGCAGCGCCCAATGCCCAAGCAAAGTCATCTGCTGAAATAGATGCGAAGAAACCATGAAAAAGCTCTCGATATGGCCTATTAATGTGCGTTTATATATTTCCGGTGCATGTCCTGTGGTGTCGATAAAGTTTTTTGGCTTCCGAGCATCGTCTTCTAAGCTCATCTCTCGCTCTCTCTCTCTCTCTCTCTCTCACTCTCTCTATTTATTTCTCTCTCAATCTCGCGCTCTCTCACTTTCACTAGCATTCCCTCTCAGTCAAGCTCTCTCACCTTCTCTCTCGCTCTCTCTCACTCGCTCTCTTTCACGCACTCTCTCACTCGCTCTCTCTCGGTCTCGCTCCCACACTTTCTCTCTCTCTCTCTCTCTCTATCTTTCTCTCTCTCCCCCTTGCTCGTCTCGCCTTGCCAAGCTTGTCAATTTATACAGCATTCGGGAATCGGTATTTTTGTACAATTCTGTTTTTTATTTGGCATTTTGGGGGCTATTGAAAAGAAACATCGTATCTACTTTTTCGGCTTTTATGAGAATTTTGGCATTTTAGACACTTTTAATTTTTTTTTGCGTTTTTTGAGTCTTTTTATAGTATTGAGTAATTATTGAGTAGATATTTTATTGTTTTTAATAAACTTAGAATACTTGCTAATAGCGAAAAGCCAATGCTTTGCGATGCACCTCGGGGGCCCTTATCGCCTCTCTCTCGCTCGTCTTTTTCCGCTCTGCCACCCCCCTCCGACTCATTCAATCGATAAATTTTCTTGCGCCATTTTTTGGTCACCAGCTCAATCTTGATCCACCGGGAATCACAGAAAATAATGTGTTTCATCACATTTCCTTGCCAAAGTCTGGATCTCGAACTTTACTAATTTATTTTCATTTTTAAATTTTTTTGCATTTGTCCCGATTTTTTCAGCGTAATTTATTGTGGTAATTTTTAGCGCCTTTTTAATGCTACTGTTCCTATTTTCGCGATAAAGTTCTTTGCGTTTTTTTAATTGGAATAAAATAAGGTCTTAATCGTGATTTTTTTTTAGCGATGACAGCGGTGGTGGACTGTTGGGATGAGGACGCAATAGAGGTTGATTTTTGGCTGGAATTTGGGCCACTAAACTGTAACAAAAATGTGTTCCGAACCACCATGTCTGTGGCTAAAAAGTCGAAAAGTCAATCGAGTTCCGAAACCGTGTTCTAAATCTGTCAACCTCTTTAAAATTTAGGACGCTGCTGCCATTGGAGACCCGTCGATGACCGAGACGGAGGTATTTTTAAATTTGTTCTGGCTCGCGCGCGCTCTCTCTCTAGCTTTCTCTCTCCCTCTCTATCACACTCTCCCTCTCGCTCTCACTCTCTCGCTCTCTCTTTCTCTCTCCCTCTCTATCACTCTCTCCCTCTCGCTCTCACTCTCTCGCTCTCTCTCTCCCTCTCGCTCTCACTCTCTCCCTATCGCTTCCTCTCTCTCTCTCTCTCTCTCTCCCTCTCTCTCGCTCACTCTCTCTCTCTCTCCCTCCCTCTCACTCTCTCGCTCTCTCTCTCTCTTTCTCGCTCACTCTCTCTCTCTCCCTCTCGCTCTCACTCTCTCGCTCTCTCTCTCTCTCTCCCTCTCGCTCTCTCTCTCTCTCCCTCCGTCCCTCTCTCTCCCTCCTGCTCTCTCTCTCTCTCTCTCTCTCTCTCTCTCTCTCTCTCTCTCTCTATTTCTCTCGTTCTCTCCCTTTTTGACCTCCATAGTTTTTCAGTCCCTCCTAACAATGTCAGGAGACTTTAACGAGATGCTTAAAAACGGATCTTCCGCCGCCTCGGAACAATTGGGCGGCACCGCCGCGATAAATGAGTTGGTTAAAGAAGTGAGGATGAATGCAGTAAAAATCTCTTAATTTTGAGGCCATGCAAATAGACGAGGGTGCGAGCACCTCTGCAGCTGCATCTGCTCCGCCTGACTCTTCCGGGGGACCACATCCGGTTGCACGCTTTGCATCCAAGGTGTCGCTGGAACATCCGAAACCAGGTAGTTCTGCTCCCGATCGCCTGGGTGTGTTCTCTCTCTCGCTCTATCTCTCTCTCTCTCCCCATCTCTCTCTCGCTCTCTCTCGATCTCTCTCTCTCCCTCTCTCTCTCTCTCGCTCTCTTTCTCTCTCTCTCCATCTCGCTCTCTCTCTCTCTCTCTCTCTCTCTCTCTCTCTCGCTCGCTCTCTCGCTTTTTGGCACCGCTCACCCGGTTGTATTTATGCTAATTACAGATAAGGCCAGATTCTCATAACACAAAAACAGTATAAGCAAAAATATAGGCATTTTTAGAAAAGCGCATTATCCTGATCCCAGCCCCTCCAGCTCCAAAGCGAGCACGAGAAGCCGAGGTATGACAATTGTTGGATACCAACTTTTCGAAAAATTCAAGAGCGACGATCGAGTTAAATCCGAAGATTCACCCTCGAATCGAACTCAAAAACGAAAAGCCAGAAGCGAATCAAAGGTACAGTCCCTCAAACAATCTCTGCTAGCCTGCCCTCCTCTCGGGGTCCGTCCATTTCCTCAGAGAATCTCTGCTAGCCTGCCCTCCTCTCGGGGTCCGTCCATTTCCTCAAACAATCTCTGCTAGCCTGCCCTCCTCTCGGGGTCCGTCCATTTCCTCAAACAATCTCTGCTAGCCTGCCCTCCTCTCGGGGTCCGTCCATTTCCTCATACAATCTCTGCTAGCCTGCCCTCCTCTCGGGGTCCGTCCATTTCCTCCTCCAATCTCTGCTAGCCTGCCCTCCTCTCGGGGTCCGTCCATTTCCTCAAACAATTACTGCTAGCCTGCCCATATTTTCAGGGTTCAGGAGACCTAACGCCAGAAGAATTGTTAAAAGAGCAGAAGCGACAAAACGCAAGGAGTTGGCGGCAGTCCATGGCAAAAGTGGGGTTAAAGGGGCGGTGACACCAAGAAAAATGAAATTTTAAGATGCGCGACGAGGTTCCCCGACTTCAGAATCTCAGCGATGATCTGAAGCGTCGAAAAGAGGCGTTGGAGCGTGAGGTCGAGGAGAAAAATCAGAAAATTGCCGATATGGAGGAGCAGATCCGGGAGCTGCATCGACAAAATGGAGCTCTCCAAGCAAAGGTGATTTCAATATGCTTTATTCTTCAATATCCATAGTCCAGGTCCCAGGCCTTACCCGCCACTTTAAAGGGAGCGTGCCAGCAACTTCAGAATTTCAGTGTGACGTCTTGCAACAGCCTGGCATCCAGTCGACATCGCTGCAAATCCCGTGGATGACCACAGACTACAGCACGATACAACTCTTTCCGAATAAATAAGTATTTTCCTAGGCGACTCGCAAGGATTCAATTAGTGTTTCATCTCAAACACCACACAATTTTTATGCGGGATTGTTTCGCTCAAAACCTAATTTTTCGATCGATCCCGGAAATTTCTTCTTTATCTTCCATTTTTAATTTAGTTTCCTGTTTTAACTCTTTTTATGTACCATCGCCGATCGGATCCAAATTATCGATTTATGTAGCCGGTTGCCCCCGAGTGGCCATGAAACTCATCAGCCACGAGCATATGGTGGACTGCATTGTCGACACCAGCGCCCTTTTAACCCCCCTTTTTTGTGGGTTTTATTCTGAAAAATTCGCTTATATTTTTCTTGCTAAAAAGGTTTTATGAAATTGTTTTCTTTTTAAATGATCAAAACGTTTACATCGCTAAAATCCTGAAATTTTCAAAAAATGGGTTTCATCATTTTGCACGATTATTTGTTTTAGTTACTGTTTAATGCCTGTACGAGTTTATATAGTCCGATTTATTGACAATACATTACTATTTACAAAATAAGTATACTAGGTTCTATTACCTAATATTACAACACTATACTCTGTTCGGACAAAGAAAATGTACCTAGGTAATCTCAGTGATTGTTTGAGGAAATTAATGTTTCATCTCAAACTCGACCCAATTTTTAAAAAAATCAGTTACTCCAAGATTCCTTGACAGTCACAATCTATTTTGTTGAATAGATCGTCCAAATTACTGATTTATTTTTAGTTTTTAACTCATCGTTTTCACCTCGTTTTTTGTTATTTATGTAGTGCTGTTGGACGTATTCAAATTATGCATTTATTTAGCGGTTTGCCCCGAGTGGCCATGAAACTCATCAGCCACGAGCATATGGTGGACTACATTGTCGACACCAACACCCTTATACGCTCCGGTTTTTTGGGCTTTTAGTGAGAAAAAGTCCCTTATATTTTTTTATTTAAGAAAAAATCTTGTGAAGCCAGCTTCTTTGTAAAAAATCGTAACATCTTACATCCCGAAAATTTTGAAGTTTTGAAAAATCTGTTTCATCATTTTGCTCGATTATTTGTTGGAGCTACTAATTAATGTCTTTGCGTAATAGTTTAGCCTTATTTATTGACATTACATTATTATTATTCGGTACCTTCTTTACATAATATTACAACACTATACTATTTTCGAATAAATAAAATTTTGCTAGGAATCCTGATTGTTCGAGAAAATTATGGTTTCATCTCAAACCCAACACAATTTTTTAAAAATTACTGATTACTCATTTATTTTTAGTTTTTAATTAATCATTTACACCTCGTTTTTTGTTATTTATGTATCATTGTTGAACGTTCGCAAATTATCGATTTATTTAGCCGTATTCTCCCCCTAATCGCTATGCACCGCATGAGCTTCGAGCATGCCGTGGACTACATTGTCGAAACCAATTATACATTTAAACTACAATACATACAACTACATTTATACGCTCCGATTTTTTGGTGGCTTTTATTGTGAAAAATTCACTCATATTTTTGATTTATAAGAAATGCTTCACCGACATGAACCTTCATGAAATTTATATGGAAAACTTAATGAAATTTAATAAATTTAATGGCCGGAACCCCGAGAGGAGGGCAGGCTAGCAGAGATTGTTTGAGGAAATTGTGGGTTTTTCTCAGATTTATTTTCGCAAAAAAGCACGATGAAAATCACAAGGCGACGAGCCAAAAGAAATACGGAAGCGAGAGAGAGGCTAGAGAGCGAGAGAGCGCAGAGAAATGGAGACGTAGAGGCAAACGATGGTGATCAGCTGCGAGTAGATGACGTTGGTGGTGGCGGCGGAGGAACGAGTGTAGCGCTGAAAAATTTTAATTAGTTTGTAATACAAATTTTAGTTTCTTACAAGGGGTCGTTTTTAGGTGATATTGGAGTTTTTGAGCGAGACCTGGCTAGTTCGATAGAGCAAAAAAAATTCTGAACAAGATATCGTTTTCAAATCTGCTAACGGTGTACTGTATTCAATAAAAATTAATTTTAATGAAAAAATTCTGTGGCGCCACGCTGCCACAGATAGATCAGGCCCGGGACATAGACCGCAACGCGAACCAGCATACGCATGAGATGGTGGCCTAGTGGATAGTGCAGGCGCCTATCAAACTTTTGCAAATTTATGCTCGGGGGTTCGGAACTTTTTTTGATTAGCTGTTTTGCTTTTTGGTTTTTAACGCTATTGAGGTCATATTTGGCATCACAGAGCAAAAAGCAAAAGAGTTTCACTAGCTAGGGGTCGAACCCGAAAGCAAAAAAAAAGATAAAAATTATGAACCAAGTGCACTACCAATATGCCACGTGATCATGGTGGTTCAAGGGTCCGAAGGGCGCTATGTTCACGCGCACACCCCGAGCCAAAACTGCGGATCATGTGAGAAATGATGGCGAAATTAATGATTTTCAAATTAATTTTTATCGAATACAATACACGGTTAGTAGATTTGGAAAACGAGATCTTGCTCAGAATTTTTTTCTCTATCGAACTAGCTAGGTCTCGCTCAAAAACTCGAATATCACCTAAAGACGACTCCTTGTTAGTGAAATACAATGAATAAATATTTTAAGTAACAGCGATTTTTTCGCATTATGGCGTATCTTGTGCGAAACATAATTTTGATTACCAACGCAACGGCTACCTCATAGACCCGGAGCGTGGCGTGACGCGGCCGCAACGCGTCAGCATCGAGCCCGCGACACGTTCGCATGCTTCCCTGGAATTAAGGAGTTTAGAATTTTTGTATTGAACTTTAGTTTGCGACTACTGAACGCAGAGAAATTGACGCCACAACTCGGCAAGAGGCGGTTTAGAAAAGGGAAACACTCATTTTTATGAAACGCCTTTCTGACCTTTTTGGTCTTATTTGAATAAAATTTTTGAAATATAAATATCCCAGTGTTTGTAAACTGTTTTTTTACTTACTAAAAACTACTTTAAAAAAAAAGACAAAAATATAAATTTTTCGACCAAAATGACCGTTTTTTAGAATTTCGAAAGTTTTTCAATGAAAACAGAGCTACATTTAACTAAAAATAATACAAAAATATTTCCCTATTCACTTACGAGGCATTATTAGATTCCAAAAAATAGATCGAATCGGTCCAAAAAAATCATAAATCTCCGCCCCCGGTAATGCACAAGAACCCATTTATCAATTTGTCGAGATGAATTAACGCTTTTTAACGTCTTCCTATCTGTGCTTTTCTAAATTAAAATGTCTTAGAATATTTTACATTCCACAGCTGCCCCTGCAACTCCTCGAGCTCGGCGCTGACCGTGTAGACGAGCGACGTCTCGGCTGTGAAATTCGACGCATGCGCTGCTGAAAAAACAGTCATGAAAAAGCAGTACGCTACGCTCCACCCCGCAAACGTAAGAACGTCACTACCGTACCCCACCGGAGCTACCGTATCCCACAAAAAACCCACAGCATTTGCATCGGTTCGCCGGCGCGGCCACGCTCGAGTTACGGTAGCAGCCGGCGTACGGTAGCAGCATTAGCAGCATCGGAGGGGACAGGAAGTCTTGAAGGCGCACCGGGATATTCGGCACAGTCTCGTATACGCCCGCGCAGAATACCGTACCCTCGGCGCAGGCTAAATGGGTTCTTTTGTTTTATGGATATTGCGTCAGGTGAATCATGACTTAAATGGGCCTTTAACGGTCCTAGAAAGACGGAATTTTCCTTAGAACTTGTGGATCGGGTTTTCCGGATCTTTTGCATTAGCGGGGGGGGGGAAGTACAAAGTGCTTTTATAGCCGTCCAGATTCGGATGGAATTTTCATGGAATTTTTCAAGCTAAGTTTGGCCAGATCGGAATCGGGCGGAATCCACAGGCCTGCCTTGCGAGTCCCTTTAAAACACAAAAATTTCCATTTACGCAAAAATACCCGAAGCACAAGTCTAAGCCTAAGACGAAACGTACATACCGTAGTACACCGTAGCGTTGGCCTGTTCCCCGAAAAAGACGCGGGTCGGGTCGATGCGCTTGGTGGATGCGTGGCAGTCCGGGTTACTGTGGGTCCACGGGTAGCCGTCGGCCGGGCAGATGATAGAGCCTGAAATGATTTCTGCTAGATTGCCGAGGAGGGCAGGCTAGCAGAGATTGTTTGAGGAAATGGACGGACCCCGAGAGGAGGGCAGGCTAGCAGAGATTGTTTGAGGAAATGGACGGACCCCGAGAGGAGGGCAGGCTAGCAGAGATTGGAGGAGGAAATGGACGGACCCCGAGAGGAGGGCAGGCTAGCAGAGATTGTTTGAGGAAATGGACGGACCCCGAGAGGAGGGCAGGCTAGCAGAGATTGGAGGAGGAAATGGACGGACCCCGAGAGGAGGGCAGGCTAGCAGAGATTGGAGGAGGAAATGGACGGACCCCGAGAGGAGGGCAGGCTAGCAGAGATTGTTTGAGGAAATGGACGGACCCCGAGAGGAGGGCAGGCTAGCAGAGATTGTTTGAGGAAATGGACGGACCCCGAGAGGAGGGCAGGCTAGCAGAGATCCTTTAGGAAAATCCTAACCTACCCTTGGTAACTGCCGGTTCATTTGCTGGCTGAGGCCTTGAGGTCGTCGTCGCGGTGGTAGTTGAGGCAGTGGTAGATGGTGTGGTAGACGGCGTGGTGGCTGTGGTGGTCGTCTGAAACTCAAAATTAAATTAAAGAAGTCGAAAAATCGAAAAAGTCAATTACCTCCGTAGTAGCCACGGGTCTACTCTCAAACTGCGCAGCCGCGCCGCATTTGCCTCGCCCCTGAAAAAAATAGCGTGGAAAATAGGCCACTTAAATTAGTAACTAAGGGTAGGCTAGCGGAGATTCTTTAGGAAATTGTGACTCACGAAGAGTAGAGAAAGCGCGCGGTAGTGTGCCAATAATCCGGTGCTGACGGGGGCCAGCAATCCGGGGTGTTGGTTGGGCTTGAGTTCGGCTGAAAAATTTAGGTTTTTCCATTTGCGGCAGAAGCTACATTTTTGCTATATAAATTTTTCTTAAAGTTTTTAAATCAAAAGTAGGGTTCTTGGAAATTTTTCAGATTAAGAGCGCTAGAAAAGATTGAAGGTCTTGCAGAAAAAAAAGTGTTTCGGCAAAAATTAACGTGATAAAAATTTTGAATCCAGGATTGAGTGTTTTTTGAGGAAACAGGTTTGTTGATTTACTAATTTTGCCAATCCCTCTACCAGAAAACGTCTCTGTAAAAACCATAAAATATGCTTTTTTGGGACGCTGCATGATGAAAGAACTGTGTTTCACAAAACAGAGCAAGCTGCGTGGTTTTGCCATAGATAGTTTGTTAAGGGCACTCGTAAAAAGTCGAGGATTTTAGTAAGGTTTTCAAAATTAGTAGTAGAACCCTTCAGATTTTCCAGGAGAAATCGATTAAAAAGCGTTAAAAAATCGAAAGAAAGGGTATCAGCAATATGTTTCGTCGAAATTTAATCCCGTTGAAAATTTTCATGCCGGACTAACTGACCCATAGCGTGCAAATCTGCTGAGGCTCTCTTTTCTCGGAAATCAACTATTTGTATAATTTGATTGTATTTATGTACCCCCGTTGGTTTGCTAGAACCTTATAATGAGAATTAATTGAAAAAAACTTTGTTTGAAAAACAGCAGGACGATGAAAGTGTGTTTCGCAAAAAAAGCGCTATCAGCGCGATTTTACCACGAATAGTCGTAGAAAAGAAGATTGGGCGTAATTTTAAAGGTCCTGGGCTGTTAGCGGGGGGTATCACTTTTTATTTTGCAATCTAAACCTATCCGTAAAGTATGTATGATGTATTTTATAGTGTTTTTAGTAGTTCTTGATTGCTAGCAAGTTATAAAAAAGATTTTTAACCATTTCGGCAATTCGAAAATTTGACGTGTATTGGCCATTTTTCATACATTTTTGACCAAAAACTCGTTTTCGTAAATTTTTATTCTATGCTTATCTTTAAAAACATGTAAAAGGCCATAAACATGGCTTCCATTCCGATATAGGGCTGTACGCGATCACTGGCAAAACTGGCCTCACCCCACCCCCGCTAACAGTCAAGAACCATGCTAAAGGGAGCATGACACCCACTGCATCGACAGTCATCGTTTGAAGTGGTCAATTGTGGTGAGTAGCAGCCCACATCACCGTCTACCAGCCCACGACCGTTCATTTCCATGCAGAAAATTTGGCCGGCAGGGCAGACTAAAAACAATTTGTTTTTAGGTATATTTTTAACTTTTACCGTAATTGAAGTAAGTCGGTGAGATGTGCTCGCTGAAGAACCGTTGCCCCTTCGGAAATGGGCCGATCAGGTTGCAGTCGGGATTGGGTACAGTGTGACGATCACCGGACGCCGGACAGCCCAACACCGCTGAAACATAGAAAATTTTCGATAGCGGCGCCTCTCTCTTTCTCTCTCTCTTTCTCTCTCTCTCTCTCTCTCTCTCTCTCTCTCTCTCTCTCTCCCTCTCTCTTTCTCTCTTTATCACTCTCTCACTCTTTCTCACTCTCTCTCACTCTATCTGTTTCTCACTCTCCCTCTCTCTCACTCTATCTGTTTCTATCTCTCTCACTCACTCACTCTCTCACTCACTCTCTCTCACTCTATCTGTTTTTCTCTCTCTTTCTCACTCTCTCTCGATCTCTCGCTCAATCTCTCTCCTCTCTCCTCTCTCCTCTCTCTCTCTCTCTCTCTCTCTCTCTCTCTCTCTCTCTCGCTCTCTCTCTCTCTATCTCTCTCGCTCTCTCTATCACTCTCTCTTCTTAAAGCTATAAATATTTTAAGACGACAGTACCATCCTTGTCAGCCTTCAGATGACGATAGAGCGGTTGTGGCACGTTGAGGGTGGAATTTTCCGCGCCATCATCAGGGTCGACGGTAGCATTTTGAAGCTGCCCGGCGACGGGAACTAAAATAGGTGTAAAAATCATAAATATTATAATTCTCACTCAACTGAATGTCCTCATATACTAAAAAAACGGCGTTAAAAGGTGCATAAAACTACCAATACCTTGATCGGAGAGAAGTAGCAAGAATACAGGGGTGAAGATAGAGGGCCGCATTCCGACCAGCATTTTTCGCGCAGGAATGAAAAATGACAAAACATATTTCTTCGCGGGAGAGCAGGAATGTTGCCAGAAGGAAATTAGCGGGATTCAAATCTTGTCAGTTTCCTCAAACAATCTCTGCTAGCCTGCCCTCCTCTCGGGGTCCGTCCATTTCCTCAAACAATCTCTGCTAGCCTGCCCTCCTCTCGGGGTCCGTCCATTTCCTCCTCCAATCTCTGCTAGCCTGCCCTCCTCTCGGGGTCCGTCCATTTCCTCCTCCAATCTCTGCTAGCCTGCCCTCCTCTCGGGGTCCGTCCATTTCCTCAAACAATCTCTGCTAGCCTGCCCTCCTCTCGGGGTCCGTCCATTTCCTCCTCAACTCTGCTAGCCTGCCCTCCTCTCGGGGTCCGTCCATTTCCTCCTCCAATCTCTGCTAGCCTGCCCTCCTCTCGGGGTCCGTCCATTTCCTCCTCCAATCTCTGCTAGCCTGCCCTCCTCTCGGGGTCCGTCCATTTCCTCAAACAATCTCTGCTAGCCTGCCCTCCTCTCGGGGACCGTCCATTTCCTCCTCCAATCTTTGCTAGCCTGCCCTCCTCTCGGGGTCCGTCCATTTCCTCCTCCAATCTCTGCTAGCCTGCCCTCCTCTCGGGGTCCGTCCATTTCCTCAAACAATCTCTGCTAGCCTGCCCTCCTCTCGGGGTCCGTCCATTTCCTCAAACAATCTCTGCTAGCCTGCCCTCCTCTCGGGGTCCGTCCATTTCCTCAAACAATCTCTGCTAGCCTGCCCTCCTCTCGGGGTCCGCCCATTTCCACAAACAATCTCTGCAAGCTCGCTTAATTATTTTGTCATTTCTCTTGCAATCCCAAGGTATCATTTATTTACAGCCATCATTAAATGCAAAATCATCAAAATCTCAATTCTTCATGAATTTCATAATTTTCCTCCTTGTCTCATCAAGTTGGAGGGCTGTCAATCTGCCGATGGCCTCTCCACTTTGCGTAACGGCTGGGGTTAGCGTTTGTAGTGTGTAGTCCGTCGTAGTCGTAAGCGGGGTGGGCGTGGCCGAGTATACGGTAAACGGGCTGGATGTTACGGTGCTTGCCGCTACGGTGCTCTGAAAGAGGCAGGTTATAGAAGTTGCAAAGATTATGTTTGAAGTTAAGACCAAGTCAAATCTTAAGCCTAAGCCTATAAATAAACTCGGAAAAATCAGAAACATAATTTTTTTTTTGGGAAATTCATGGCGTTTATGGGCTTTTTTAATGCCGGAATTTTGGTTAATTTGTTTTTTGTATTCCGTACTCCTAACATACCGTCAAAAACCTAGGAATCTGTCACATATAAAACCTATGGTATTTTTGTAGAATTTGTCAATATGAATGGCGAGAATTGCGTCGACGGATTAACTTCCTTCGAGCCTACATTGACTCGCATAATTTAGAAACATTTTTTGTGACCGCTTGGCAGGAAACCTGGATACTTTAACATGGCTTTTTTTAACAAGAATCTAACCAAAAAGCTTACCGTACTGACTCCACCCGTCGATAGGCTTGTCCCGTAGCTACTGCCGGCTACCGTAGCCGCCGGCAAATCCGTGCTAATTTCCACCAATCCAGCCGCGGTCGTTTTTTGGTTGATACGAGGTAGGTTGCTGGGCCTGAATTTATTTATTACGACCGTTTTAAAAAATAATCTGCCAACTATAAATAATCAAATTTAGTAATTTTTTCGGCGCGATTCTTTTCCTACTTTCTTTCCTTACTTACTTTTTCAACGATTACATTTTTCGAAGCGTGCACACGGTAAAATTACAGCCAGCTCAATGCAGTCTACAATTTAATTCACGGAAACATTGATTTTTAAGAGCCCTAACCAACTGACTAATCTCTGGGACGCGCATTTATGGACCAAAAGGAATTAAAGACATGTAAAAATAATTGTTTGATGCGATTACACAAAACATCTTTTTTTTTCAAAAAAAAACCTAAATGGTTGTTGTTTTCATGTTCCCTGTTTTGAAATATAAGTTCTTTCCCATTATCGGGGGGGCAACTTTTTCTCTATAAGTCTGTTTGGTCACGTAATGGTAAGTTTTTAGAGGCTTTTTAACAAAATTTCACTCTATTATGACTAGAAATACGATACAAAATCGACCTGACTTAATAATTATCAACTCATCAAATGCCCTGTATTAATTACCGTATGAATTCAAGGACCCATCCGTTTTAAAGAAACAAACATTTATTTGCTGGCCTATCTGTTCTAGTAAGCTCTGAAGGAACGAGCATTACCGAAAAAAAACAGAAAATATTATTAAAGCCTCTAAGTTTAATTATTTGATCGAATTAGTCCAAACATATTTTTTTAAAGCGTGGACCGTAATTGATTTACCCGTTTCTGAATTTACAAAATAGAAACAAATTTTATGATCAAAAACTGGACGGATGCGAGGCAAATTCTGTGCGCCAATTATCCATTACTTCCTAGCATTGATTGAATTTTAAATCATGCATTGACGAGAAATTACCGCCCAATTAAGTTTGGCAACCATCTAATTCAATGAAACGTTAATTAATGAAAGGCTTGTCCGACTTCTAAAATTCTGAGGATATGACTGTGAATATGTGAAAAAGATGAATAGCAAAGGAATTACGGCCTATCAAAATCAACTGTGTTATAGAGTTAGTCAAAACATTTTTTTTTAAAGCTCCGACCGGATTAGCCTTTCGCATTTCCTAATTTGAAAAGTAGTTTCTTTCGCATTATCGGGGGGCAATATTTCACTATAAGTCCAGGAATGCCCAGTAATGTGACAGTAAGTTTTTTCCGCGAGTTTTGGTAAAATCCGAATGCATTTAAGTGGAAACTAAGGGTACGTTTCTGATCCTGAATTAATGATTTTCATACTGACAACCCACCCATTAAATACTATTTTAATTCAGGGATCAATTCGTTTTCAAGAAACACAGATTTTTCACTGGTTTGCCGGAATTGTTAGGATCAGTAACATCGCATTATTACTAAGGCCTTTAAAATTGATTATTTGATGCTTTTAGTCGAAACATCGTTTTTTAAATCGTCGACAGAGATTGATTTTTTACATTCTGACTTTGCAAAATAGAAACAAATTTTATGATTATAATTTGGAAGGATGTGAGGCAAACTCTGAAGATGGAGGATCGATTGAGGGCCATCAAAATTAATTATACTATGGAGTTAGTCAAAACATTTTTTTTGTAAAATCCGACCGGAATTAGCCGTTCGACATTCCTAATTTGGAAAATAGGTTCTTTCGCATTATCGGGGGGGGTAACTATTCCGCTATCGGCCGTGCCTCGCAACGTAAGTAAGTGTTTTACTAGCGTTTTTAATAAAATGTATCTATGTTTTAAGTGGTAATACAATAAAAACTGAACCTTAATTACTGTTTTCGCAAAACAAAAAGCGCGCGGAATTAATACCTTATGAATTAGAGTGGCGCTTATTCAAATCAGATTTGAATAAGATTCAAATTGTTCAAATCAAGCCAATTTGATTTGAATTGGAGCCGACCAAATCAAATCAAATCGATTTGATTTGAGTTCCGCCAGTTCAAATCAAATCCAGCCGATTTGAATAATTTGAATAAGACCTCAGCGAAATGAACCCAACTCAACTCGTAATTCGTGCACCGCTCTTTCCCTATATTCTCTTAGCATTGTTCCAGCGTCCCAGTTAACGATTCCTTATACATTTCCGATTGTTTTTACCCGTTAACTTTTCTAAAGAAAAACCAAAGCACAGGCTAAATCTTGCCAAAAAAATCGTCTGGCTCAATTTATATAAATGTCGGTAAGAGTTTACTTACCCCCCCACAGCCGAAGGGTCTCAAAGTTGTCGGGATTTTCACAGCGCCATTCGATAGAGCGTCGAAAAATATACTAAGAATTTTAATTTGAGTGTACAATAATGTAAAATAAAAAAGTTATACAGGGTGCGTCAAAAAAAAAGAGTGAAGTTTGCACCAAAATATCTCGCTTATAGTAGAGAATCGAAGGTACGTTACCATGCCAGAATGCTTAAATATGCTGGGTATGAAGATTTAACACAACTTGATTTTTTCGATTTTTGGCGACGTATCAATACAAATGACACCCGAAAACTGTGCGTTCCGGCAAAACTTCGTTTGCATTTTTTAGGCCTGCTGGTGGTCGAACACATCCAATTTTTACAGTGTAGGCACCTAAGGACTGCCCCTACGCACATCCGGAATTTTGGAATTTTTGAAGGTCAGGTTGGCAAGTTATAGCGTGCTAAAATTTAATATGGAGAAATTTCGTAAATTTCGAATATTACAAAAACCTATGGTAGAAACCTCAAAATAAGCTGTTTTAGCATGTCTATAGGCTCGATACAATCCCGCAAAAATATCAAAAAAAAATTTCAGATCCGGAGATTTTTGAGTTTTTCGACGACCCCCTGGTCATGGATTCTTTCGAGGTCACGAAACTGAACTTTGGAAAAATATTTCTAAAATTGCAGATAGAATTTCGGTGTTTGCTTTGCTTCGTTGTGTAGGACTGGGGATTATCTATCATGTACACAATTTCTAGCTACCGTACCCCTTTGGAAGGTTGCTTTTTAGCGCCTCCAAAACGGTTGGTTCTTGCTATTTCGCAGACCTTCATGCCAGTTTATAAAATTCAGTTGAGAGGCTGGAATTGTTGTCATAATTTTATTTAATACTACTTAATGGGCGCATTCTATGATTATATTTACAAATTTATTGGGCCATCCAATCTCTCAAAAGAATTTCATGAAGAGCCCAAATATACCCGAATTCGGGACGAGGTAAAAAAATTCTCGAGGCTTGAGTAGCCCGGACTTTTCTGGCATAAACTCAGCTTGGGTAGTCAACTAAAACCCATGCAAATACAAAACCTTTTCACGGCAAACGAATTTAGAAGAGCACCCCAAAGTCGGCTTTTAAAAAACGTTTTTTCGGGGTTTTAAATCAAAATCAACCATTAACTTCAGCCAGATCATTCCAGTATTCTGCTCTCATGCACAGTTCGATGCGTGCTTTAATTGTATCCACCAAACCCCGGTGCCTTTTTCATTTTCAAAAATTCGATTTTCAGCCCGGGGCCTCGGGTCCAACATCGGGCCACGAGGGGGGGTTTTCCTCTTTCCTTCATAACTTTGTCATTTGCCACAGGAATCAAGTAATTTTTTGTAGGTGCTCTTACAATCACCCAGAGAACAGTCTAGAATCGAAAAACCGTCATTTTATGGAATTTTTTCTTGGCATGCTAAAACGCGCTCCGGGCGGGTTACTGTAGAAAACAGAAAATCGCCGTTTTCTCGTTCTTTTCACCATAGAAACGTTTCGATCTTTCAGGAAAACAAATAATAGTAGTTTTTAGTCCGATGCGTCGAAATATTTAGAAATTTCCGTGGCTAAATTCGAAAATAAGTTTTTGACCTATTTTGGGAAGGTATATGGCTAGAACTCCACGATCTTTGGCCAATAGGTGACCCTTACTGATGTTTACCAATGATAAAATTTTAAGCGAAATCGCAGCTTACAATAAAAAGAAAAACGCGAAAAACAAAAACTACAGTATCCCTCTGGGGCACGTTTTAGCAAGCAATATTAAAATACCATAGAATCAGGTAAAATTTGGTGTTGTGCTAAAGATTATCATTCGGCGACACCACTTGCAAAAGATCAGCCATGGGCAGCGTATTTGAAGCGAGTTGCGAGTTAAAAAGTAAAAATAAGCAAAATAGGGAAATTTGTTTTGCCTGTAAAAAAAGAACTAAACCTTCAAAAATTCTAAGACTTTGCTATTATTTTTTTACAAATGTCAACTATTTATAGGCCAAAAATCAGAATTTTCCCACCACCCGTTCAAGAACGCACAATTTTCGGTCGTAACCAGCGTCAATAGTACAGTTGCGTACTCAAAAATCGAAAAAATCAGGTTGTGTTAAATCTTCATACCCAGCATATTTAAGCATTCTGGCATGGTAACGTACCTTCGATTCTCTACTATAAGCGAGATATTTTGGTGCAAACTTCACTCTTTTTTTTTTTGACGCACCCTGTAGCCAAAAACTTCCGGCTGGGGGGGGGGGGTAAGGTAAACCGTAGCCTAAATGTCATCAAAACTCCCCATGAATTATTGTAAAGGACACCTAAATGTGCAGAAACGGCGCTACCAAAAGCCCTCCGAAATCGCCGATTTTCAATTTGCATCCCTGATAAGCCTGTTGTTCAAATCCCAAATCAAATCGATTTGATTTGAGTTGGCCAGCCCCTATTTCAAATCAAATCGATTTGATTTGAAGTTGGTTTTTTTCGCACTCAAATTTGCTAATTCAAATCAAATCAATTTGAAGCCGATTTGATTTGAATAAGCGCCACTCTATTATGAATTGAAGGATTGATTCGTTTTAAAGAAACACCTAGTTTTCGCTGGCCTACCGGACATATTAAAATCTGAAGTAACGTGAACGACTCAATAACAAGATAAGTAAAGGCTATGGAAATCAATTATTTGAGGGACTTAGACAAAACATTTTTTCTAAAAGTTTTCAAGGCGTCACGGGGCCAGCCATGATTTGTAAAAAACGACAAATAGGGAAAAACCAAATCCAAGATTAATAGCGCAGTCCATTTCTTTTACTCAGTTAGGAAATGAAACAGTAATTTTCAACAAAAGTAATTTTGTAAGCCTACAGTAATTTTGCGAAGAATCAGTCCTGAAAAAAGTATTATTTCAACATGTTAAATATATTAAAATTATTAAAATGACCAGGGTAATGTAATTTAACAAAACATAATTTTTCAATAGCTGCCTGGAATAATTCTGCAATTTAGGAGATCGATTTACGACTATGCCCTCGAATCTTTACCCCCGTTATTTCTCCTTCCCCCCCCCCCCGTTAAGTCACCTTTACCGAAATCAGCCAAGCTAGTTTTCTACGCAATAATTCCTTTTGTTTACCTTTTTGATTGGCAAAATAATTGTTTTATTCAGGAAAGCCACCCAAACAGCACTAATTGCCCCTTGTCATAGGATTGTGACAAGTAGTTAAACGAAACATAAACATGTAAACCCCCACCTTGTGTACACCTCCTCCGGTCTCAAGCTGTACAGAGAAGCCAAGTGTAGTGGAGACGGCGTGGTGGCCACCATCTGGCTGCTACCGTAGTTACCGTATGGCGATCCGTACGTTGCTGCGTACCCTCCGACGTATGGATTACGAGCAGGGAGGGAGGCGGAATTATCATGAGAAGCACCATAGGAGGATGAGATACCTTAAAATACGAGTTTAGGGCAGGCAGGGGCGTAGCCAGAAAAAAATTTCGGGGGGGGCCCCGAAAATTTTTTTCCGAAAAACTCAAAAAATTAACGAAAAAACAGCGCCGCAGGCAAAAAATTTTGGAAAAAAGGTAACATAGCTCTATAAATAGCAGTAAAAACGTGAAAAAATAGCGCCGCAGGCAGCAAAATTTTTGAGAAAATAAAAATCATAAGGGTCCCCCCTTATGAAATTTTTGGGCCCCGGCCGATTTCGGGGGGGGGCACCGGGCCCAGGGGGCCCACCTTACGCTACGTCCCTGAGGGCAGGCCAGCAGGAATTGTTTGAGGAAATGGACGGACCCCGAGAGGAGGGCAGGCTAGCAGAGATTGTTTGAGGAAATGGACGGACCCCGAGAGGAGGGCAGGCTAGCAGAGATTGTTTGAGGAAATGGACGGACCCCGAGAGGAGGGCAGGCTAGCAGAGATTGGAGGAGGAAATGGACGGACCCCGAGAGGAGAGCAGGCTAGCAGAGATTGGAGGAGGAAATGGACGGACCCCGAGAGGAGGGCAGGCTAGCAGAGATTGGAGGAGGAAATGGACGGACCCCGAGAGGAGGGCAGGCTAGCAGAGATTGGAGGAGGAAATGGACGGACCCCGAGAGGAGGGCAGGCTAGCAGAGATTGTTTGAGGAAATGGACGGACCCCGAGAGGAGGGCAGGCTCGCAGAGATTCTTTGAGGAATTTACCTGTATTAATCGGTGCCGGCGGCAGTCCGTAGCTTTGCGGAATCGATTTTTGTAGTCCGTAGCCTGTAGTCTGCCGATTTAAAGGGACGTTGAAGTTGGCGATGGACATTTTTTGCTGTGGATTTGGAAAGCTCGGGTCGATACTGCCAGAAATCGGGGTACGGTAGGTTTCGGCATTCCGCGACGCTCCGGGGTATACCGTATGAGTTGTGGTTTGTAGCCCAGAATTGGACGCTTCGGGGTATACTGTACTTTGTAGTCGAAGATTCCGGGATACTCCGGGGTATACGGTATTCGACGTAGTTTGCAGTCCCAGATTCCGCGCTGCTACGGGGACTACGGTAGTGGCCAAAATATCGTGCTGTCCCTGGATACCGTAATCTTCCTTGGGGAGTCCATAAGACTGCACGTACTCGTGGGCGGGGATTACGGTAGTCGGCTGGTTAATTAGCATATTTTGGGGGATGGATGTCGTAATGGATTGTGGATTGTGTTGGCGTTGGAATAGGGAGAATTGCTGGCTTTGGGTACCGTACCCGCCGCTACCGTACCCCTGCAACGTCTCGACGGGAAGTTGATTGTTTTGGAAAATTGGACGGGCGGGTCGTTGGTCGATGGAGTGGGCTGTAAATTCAATAAAGAATAATGTTTTAAGTATTTTAACAGAGCTTGAATTAATTGAAAAGCTAATCAATAATTCATACTTTCGATGGTTTTTTAGTAAAATAAAATTAATTCGTTTTAATAAGTTTCTCCTGTTAAATTAATGTTACTTAATGAATGATTATTGTTTTAACGATTGTTATACTATTAAAACCAGGAACCCAGAATTTAAAAAAAGACTCCGGCCATACGAGACTATAGCTCCCGGAATTTTCAGAACCTGCCTATTGGTCAAAACATTTTTTTACAAACTAGTTTTTCCACTTTCGTATTTTCAAAAATTTTCAGGCAATTTATTACGCTTTCTCCACTTGATGCAATTCAAAAAACTTGGAAAATAAAAATGATAAATTACGGCGAATGTTTCGACAAAATATGTTAAAAAATTCCCCCGACATTCATTTTTATAAAAAATACTTTTTTTCAGCAATTTTATCTTCAAATTTCGCGATTTCAGGAAAAGAATATTACGCTGAATATTACTGAATAAATACTATATTCCTGTCAATAATTTATTTTTGCCAGGTCAATAATTAAAAAAGCAAATAGAACGAATGGCTTAGGACATGAAATTGCAACGCGAAAAAGTCACCGGGCCTGCAATTTGAACGAAACATTTTTTGCGAAACGTCTTTTCAATTTTAGAGTTTTCAAATTTTCATTAAGATGCGTTTATACTGTAAAAATTACAACAGTCGTATAAATAATACCAGCTAGCGCTTTAAAAACCAGCTAAAAAATTTGGTTACAAAAACCAACCAAACGGATTCCTGGGCGTCGGCATTTGCGTGTAAAGGTGAGGGGGCTGTGCGTATTTTTGCGCCGAGAATTGGGCTTAAAAATTAAATCAATTAGTTAAAAAGCTAGGTTAATTGAACGAATTATTTAAAATCTACCAATAATAAAATTATATAAATCAAACCTGAATTAGCGTAGGTAACTTTAGCGACAACGGGCTGCTGCTGGTGGTAGTAGTGTTGTCGTTGTGGAACGGAATGCTAAAAACAAGAGATAAATAGTGGAAACTAAAAACCTAATAAATATATATTTATGTATTGATTTAAGAGTTCATTTTATCATCATTTAAGAGTAGGATTTAAATTTTAGAGCATATGAAATTTTTAAAAATATTTTTGAAGGCATAAAATATCGGATCTTGGCGATACTTGAAATCCTATACAACGTATTTTTGGAAGTCATGGGAAAACTCACACCGTGGTACAAAAAAATTCTTCACTAAAGCAGCTAGAACTACCAAACTACCATAAAAACCCGAAACACTTAATTTTCAAAAATTCACCTGATTCGGGGTGGGATACCGGTTTTGCGCGGGGCCCTCCACCTGGTAGCTGAGACCTAGAAATAATCGTAAAAACATTTTTGTAAAAGTTTACTCTACCTACCCTCCCCCCCCCGTCGCAGCCGAAGAGTCGCAAAATTTTCGGCATTTTCGCTATTTATGCCGGGATTTTCGCAACGCCATTCGATAGAGCGTCGAAAAAAATACTAACGGTTTTAATTTGAGCCTACAATAATGTAAAATAAAAAGTTATAGCCAGAACCTTCCGGCTGGGGGGGAGGGTAAGGAGACCGTAGCCACCATTTTAAAGGGACCGGCAAGGCACGCCTGGAGGCTTTTGACTCTACGTTCTTCATGAATTTTACCGTGACCCACAATGCGCGCACTAGGCTTTCCATAGCGTAATGGATTACGACCCCTTAGGTACCGCTGCGCGGCGTGCGTGATGCCGAATCCTAGATCCTAGGGATTGTAAAATCCCGTCGAAATCCGTTGCATTAAACGAAACGAAACTTTAAGTAAATCAAATCCAATAAAGAAACAAAAAGCTGATCAAATCAAAAACGGTTACCAAAAATCGGTTTTCTGAATTTAATCTTCCTGATCACGCGCGAAGTGTCATTAGTAAAAAGGAGAAAGCATGTTTCGGGAATTTTTAAGAAACACTTTGATTTTTTGGAGGTAATTGTGTGCACCGGAACTCGTCGAATAATGCTCCGCCCCGAAAATGCCGTCATTTATCCCTTAACGGAACCGTCAAGGCAGGCTTACGGTCTTTTTAAGATTTTATCTTTTTTGCGACACGCAACGCGACGTGGACGCGCGCGTTGCCTGACGTAAAAATTCCATAGTGGTTCCATAGCCAATAAAACAGGTAGATTTAGGTTTTAACGGCTTTTTAAATAGTCTAAACGAAATCTAGCATAATTCCACGGTAGCTCGGATTATGGTTTTCAAGAAATACGCATCTTTTAATATTAATACTATTAAACATACCCTTATTCTGCGCCGAGTATTGATTGCCGGGGTACGGTAGGTAGGGAGATCTAAAGCTATTTTAATGAACGAAAAAAGCATTTATAAGTAGGAACTTTGATCATTAATAATGAAACCAAAAACATACCCAGTTATAACGCTCGAAAAGCATATGATTATTGCTGGGGCGCACCACAGCATTTTCCGCCTGAAATTCAAAATTTAAATAGAGGAAAAGTTTGTTTGCAAAAGCAGATCGTAATTATTGCGCTACTAGCCAGAGCGCACAGATAATGTAATAAAACATAGTTTTCTAAAGCAAAGGATAGCTTGTTTTTAAAAGATAGCATATTATATATATATATATATATATATATATATATATATATATATATACTTTATTCAGTAGTTGAATAAGAGTGGGGAGTGGGCAATATATTTTTGTAGTAATTTTTCCATCCTACTATATATAAAAAATAGTTCCTGTGTGTGTGTATGTATGTATGTGTGTGCATTTGCATGCAACTTCCGTCAGCGTGTTCCAGTAGTATCTCAATAAGGGGGGTAGTTAGTGGGATGTTTCATACCTCATTAGGTGCGCATTGGCCTTGAGATGACTGCACACCCATAAAATTTTCAAAAAGTTGCTGTTTTCGACGTTAAACTTAAGTTTTTTGTTGAAAAATCGAGAAGCATCTTTGCTAGGAACAAATTAGCATGAGCCGGAAGTTGCGGTAGCTTATATAAGGGAAGAGAGGCGACGTTTCTCATTTTTTTGTCATCGAAATCGCGATAATTATGCAAAGTGAAGAATAACATGGGATCAGACGAGGCCAGGGTTGAAAGTCGCGAAGCGGCTTTTCAACCCTGGTTTTTACATTATTTTGAGGAAAAATTAAGGCACTTAGTGATTTTTTGATACTCTTCGAACGGCACATTCAAAACCGCAAAAATCTCGTGAAAATCTAGAAAATCAGCATTCGAACCTCATTTTTGATGGTTCTTTTCGTTTCTGTGGCAAGTGTTTTATACTACAAAAATTTTTATAGATCGTTTATGGACAGCTAATCTGCAATTAATTCATGTTTAATCAAGCCACATTTTTGAAACACATTGATCTGCAAAATAACATTCTTAAAAACGTTCAAACTCGGGTGTTTCAGAAAAAAAGGCTTACGCAAAATAACCGGTTTTCAACAATAAAGCG